TGGCTTGTAGTCTGTGGCCCGCACGATCCCAGATTGTAGGCCGGGCTGAGGGACACCCCCTTCTGTGTGTGAATTTCGGGCACTGGGCCACTAGCCTAGCTATAAAATAAAGACATGGCTTGTAGTCTGTGGGATACCTTCCGGACAAAGGATACCATGGTGGCGGGCCGAGGCAGAGGTGGTTCAGGGTGATCAGGCCAGGAGAGGAGGGTAGTTGGGGGCAAGCAGGCCGGCAGGGGTGGCAGGGCCACTAGCCTAGCTATAAAATAAAGACATGGCTTGTAGTCTGTGGTGCTGTTGCTAGCTCTTCATCAGAGAGGACAGTGTCCCACCCAGACCCAGCTTTTTTCTCTTGTCTGTCTTTTCTCCATCCTTCACCGCCCCCTCTCAGGCTCACGAACCTGGCTGAGCTGGCACATAAGGCTCCCAATGTGGGGCCTGAGTGCGGGGACATTGTGATTGTGGGGTGAAAGGAGGCTCCATTAAGGCATGTGTGCAGAAAGTGAAAGTAGGGTAGGGAGCAAGGTTCAGTAATTACTGGGTGTAAAACTTGGGACATTCATGATCACAGGAAGGGGATCCCTAAAAACAATGCTTAGTGAAGCATTGTTCAGTTTTTAAGGAGAAAATAAGCAGTAGAAAATAGGAAGGTAGGAAATAAGCGGTAGAGAAAAGAAAATAAGATAAGAAATAGAAGATAGAAAATAAGATTGAAAATAAGAGAAGTTATAAGATAGAAGATAAGAAATAGGAGATAGAAAATAAAAGGTGGAAAATAAGGTAGAAATCTCTTCGGTTTTTTTAAGCTACTGTAAAGCAAGCAATGGCTGTGGTTGATGTTTGAGGAAGTAACTTATTTCTGGCACAGAAGTGACCTACATTGTAAGCTCTTGCGGCAGTTGCATTGTTTCTGGGCATTGGTTATTTCTGCTTGTACGACCTGATAGCTCCAGACCCAGAGTTGGAGGTCTCCAGCTCTGCAGGACCGAGGGCTGCTCGTTTCCATGCAGCAGTGAATGAAGAAGCTGAGGAAGGGACCAGACTTCTGGCTGAGCTGGCGCGGCACATAAGGCACCCAGCGTGGGGCTGAGTATGCCATGCCCAGCGGGCTTGCCACAGGTAGTGTGATGGACCTTTTTAGGGCCAGTGAGGTAGAGAAGGGCCCAACCTAAAAGATACGAAGTGCATGCTAAGGACTAGGTCCATTTTCCTGTAAGTTCTGGGAGACCAACAGAGAATCAAGGAGTGAAGTTTGTGTTTTACAGAAATGATGCTGATGTAGACACTCACTGGTGTGGGAGAGACCAGGGGCAGAAAGCCAAGCGGGGTGTCCAAGTCGAGAATATGAGGCTTGAACCAGGGCATAGGAGCAGGAACCTAGAGCAGGGTGTTCAGGGGAGGGGTTTTACAGGATGTGGTAACTGATGGCATGTTGAGAGAGACACCACCATTGCTGGGTCTGTAGATGTCACACTTTGTTGTTAATTTATTTTTTTAGAAGGAATGTGTTTTCAAGGGATGGTATTCCAGAATGGGAAGGAATTACTCCAGGAAGGGGCGAGGTTGGTGATGCTCAGGTTTCAGAGTGGCTTGAAGGGTTTGTAGCTGACAAGGTGGAGTCAGTCCTTAGCCTTTTGCACGTTGTTGGAACCGGCTATTTTCACGGCAAGTTTCAGACAGCACTTTTGTTCTTTGGGCAGGTGTGTGCACGCGCCACGCAAGGTAAAGCTGGCTCTTCCCATAGTGGGATCTGAGCAGGCCGCCTTTCTTTTGACATCTCATAGTTCTCCGCTTCAGTAATCTCTGCTTGTTTAGCTGATGTCTTACTTGGCATCGTTTATTAATTTAAGGGATTAACATCTTTCAGAACTTGAAATAAAAAAGCAAAATCATTTTATTTCCTCCATTCGTGTGGAAAATTACGAAATGCCAGTCATCTCTCTCTAGATCCATGGCTTATTGTATAGGACATACCTCAGGAATGGCCGGGTGGAAGTGCTGCGCAGGACAAGGCGTGTGGGAAGGGCCTTCCCTGCCGCGGCACATGGTCACCAACCGGAAGCTCCAGGTGTTTGCTTCATTAACTGAGAATTCTTACCCTGTGTCTGGTGGTGTTCTATGTGCTTTACAAATAGTGACTCGTGTAGTTATCGTAGGGACCCTGTGAAGTAGGCATATTTCATCCCCATCGCGCAGATGGAGAGACCGGGATGTGGAAAGGCCCCGACGTCACCAGGAAGCAACGCAGCGGGTTTGGAACCCGGGGTCTGGCTGCAGAACCCATGCTGTTGGCCATAGTTGTAACTATGCACCTGAGTCCGGGACAAGGATAGAAGACATAGTGGTCTTTTCATTGTAGACATTGGTCCCACTGTGCGCCCCACGATGGGGTAGACAGTGGGGACAAAGCAAGTACGTGTGTTGTGTCTTGAAGATACCCCGAGCCTCATTGGAAATAGAGACTGGAAAAGACTGAGGATGCAATGGTTAAGCTAATCATAATGTTTGAAAGCAGTAGAGAGACTGGGAGGTACCACAGATGAAAACTAGGAGAAGGAAGCAAAGTAAATAATGAGCTTCAAGAACAGTTGAGAGGCCAGCAGTGCCCTCTCTGGTAGGTGTCATTGGTGAGACTCGTTCATTGTGTGGGGGCAGAAGCCATAGCGCTTTTGCTTATATAAATGTGTATAAAATTGCAGTGGAAATTGTTAATATCTCCAGAAGAGAAAGGGGGCACATCATATTAAAGAGAATAAAATACAAAAGAAGTATAAATGTAGACGAAATAAAAATGTTTCAACACAGTAGTTAAGAGATTGAAATTTAAAATATAGTCTAAATTTAAAACAAGTTAAAAATGCAATGTTTGTAGACTTCTGCTTCTGACCAAGATGGAGTAACAGGGAGTGATTTATCTTCCTGCCCAAACAACAGCAAAAAGGCAAAGTACATGAAACAATTGTTTGAAGACACTGGATGTCAGACAATGCAGGACAGTCATCTCTGGGAGATGGAAAACCAACGAGGTAAGCCCTCTGGTCGCCCCACGGTATTGCCTGGAGAGGGCTTCCAGGTCACAGCAGAGGAAGGTGAAACTGCAGTGCAGCCCAGCAGACTCCAGTGGGCATGAGCAGCATCTAGAGCGCAGTGAAGGGAAAACTGTCAACCTCAAATAGTAAGCAAAAATATATTTCTACAACAAAGGTAAGGCAATGTATAGAATGGGAGAAAATATTTTTTATATGTTTGCATTGATTTTTATTTTATTTTTTTTTAAATGTATTTTATTGATTTTTTACAGAGAGGAAGGGAGAGAGATAGAGAGTTAGAAACATCGATGAGAGAGAAACACCGATTAGCTGCCTCCTGCACACCCCCCATGGGGAATGTGCCTGCAACCCAGGTACATGCCCTTAACCGGAATCGAACCTGGGACCTTTCAGTCCGCAGGCCGATGCTCTAAGCACTGAGCCAAACCGGTTTCGGCTGCATTGATTTTTAGAGAGAGAGGAAGGGAGAGGGATAGAATGATAGAAACATTGATGAGAGAGGAACATCATCAGTCGATTGCCTCCTGCACGCCCCCACGAGGGATCGAGCCTGCATCCCTGGCATGTGCCCTGACCAGGAATTGAAGCGGCAACCTCCTTGTTCCTGGGTCGATGCTCAGCCACGGAGCCATACCAGTGGGGTGGGAGAAAATATTTAGAAATCATGTATATCTGATACTGGCTTCATATCCCGAACATTTACAGAAATAGAACTTAACAACAGAAGTCAAACAACCCAAGTTTAAAATGGGCAGAGAACTTGAACAGACATTTCTCCAAAGAAGGTCATACAAGTGGCCAAAGCACGTGACAATAATGCACACTAAAGCCACAAGGAAATGCCACTTAACAACTACTAGGCTGACTATAATAACTATTTCAAATGGAATCACATATGTTGGCAAGTTTGTGGGAAAACTGGAACTCTTGTGAATTGCTGGTGTGAATGTAAAATCATGCAGCTGCAATAGAAAAGTTTTGTGTGTCCTCAAAAAGACAAACTTTAAAATTACCATATGACATAGCAGTTCCACTCCTAGGTATATGCCAAAGTAATTGAAAACAGGGACTCCTGCAGATTCTTGTATGCCAGTATTCATTGCAGCATTATTCACAAAAGCCAAAACGCAGATAAATGGATAAACAAAAGGTGGTCAGTCTTTACAATGGCATATTACTCAGCCATGGAAAGGAATGAAGTTCTTGCTACATCATGGATAAATCTGGAAAATATGCAAAGTAAAATAAGCTGGACACAAAAATACAAATATTGTATGTTTTACTTAGATGATATTTCCAGAATAGGCAAATTCATAGAAACAAAGTAGACTAGAGGTTATTGGGGCTGAGGGGAGGAAGGAATATTGCTGAATGTTTAGGAGTTTCTGTTTGAGGAAAAGTTTTGGGATTAGTAGTGATGGCTGCACAACATTGTGGATATAATCAATGCTGCTGAATTGTACACTTAGCAGAAAATTTTGTGTATATTTCACCATAATTATAAAGACTAGTAATGTAATATACTGAAAACCATTTAATTTGTATGCCTTGAATAGGTAAATTGTATGATATGTGAGTTATATCTCAATAAAGCTGTTTTAGAAATGTACAAAGGCAAAATAAAGACATTTATTTTGTCTGACTTACAGAAGCCAAAACAATTTGTTATTAGCAGAACACGTTACCAGAATGTTAAAAGATGTCCTTCAGGGTTAAGGAAATGAAACCAAATGGGAATCAATCTCTACAACAGCGGTTCGGAACTTGTGGGTCACGACCCTTTTGGCGGTCGAACAACCCTTTCACAGGGGTCGCCTAAGACCATCCTGCATATCAGATATTTACATTACGATTCATAACAGTAGCAACATTACAGTTATGAAGTAGCAGTGAGAATAATTTTATGGTTGGGTCACAACATGAGGAACAGTATTTAAAGGGCCAGAAGGTTGAGAACCACTGCTCTATAAGAAAGAATGACAGGCACTGCCAAGTACACAAATAAAAGTATATTTATTAATATTTAAGTATCTTTAAAAGATAGCTGGCTGAGCATTAGTTTTCTATAGCTGTGTAACAAATTTCCACAAATGCAGCAGCTTCAAACAGCACTCACTAGCTCACAGTTCTGTGGGTCTAAATCTATTGAAGTGTGGCTATGTTTTCTGCTCTGATACCTAACAGCTGATAGCAGGTGTTGGCTGGTGTGAGTTCTCAGCTGGAGGGTGTGTCGGGTGGGGGGTGGGGGATGCACTTCCAAGCTCACGCTAATTCCTGGCGGGATTCTGTTCCTACAAGGCTACAAGGCTGAGGTCCCTGTTTCTGTAGTGGCTGTCGGCTCCCCTAGATCACCCACACTGCTTGCCACATGGCACCTTCTACCTTCAGGCCAGTAATGCTCACATGTTTGTTGTGCTTCAGATCTTTGGCTTCCCTTCTGCGATTAGCTGGAGATATCATATTTCTTATCTGTAAAGTGAGGATGTTAGATCAGGTCAGTTTTTGTTTTGTTTTTCGTTAGATTTCCTAAGAAAGAATTTGTGGTAGTAAAATAATTTGATTCCAAATGAAATTTAGCATTGAACCTTGGAGGTTAAGGGGGGAAAGGCAATGTACGTACCTCTTTTCTTCCTACCCCTGGGCACTTGTGGACTATCTCTGCTGTTCCTCTGCGGTGGTTTTTGAGTTCTATCCTGCTGGGAAGAGGGAGTTTAGGCTGAGGATTTATGAAGCGTCCCAGGCACAGCTAACTTTCCTCATGTTTCTTTCTTTTCTCCAGCTTTGCCTTCTTGGATCTCTCATTCCTCAAGAAAGTATCAACAAGCACACAGAGGGCATGGAAGCCCAGTCACTCCCTGCCCGGTTCCCCGTAAGCTGAGCTGCCTTCTTTGTTCTCCAGCTTAGAATCTCTTCTTCCTTAAGTTCTGAAGTTCCTTTGCCCAGAACTTCAGAAATTGTATCTCAGACAATCTTCTCCAGGAGACTAGCACCATTTATTTGTTTTATTGGTAGGAATGGTTTTATTTCCTTTCACATAAAAAAAACCTCAAGTTTATGAGTAATGTGGCCAAGTAATAGTCAAGTGAGGTAATACTGAGGAATGAAGCACTTTTTGTCTGCACTTTTAAATAAAAGTGCTTCTTATAGTTTCTATACCTAAAGCTTAGCAGAACTGGTTTTGGGACAATAAGTACCTTTTAGGACTTGACCAGAATCCAACACAAATAGTACCGACTCCTAAATAAACTCATGTTCACCTTCTTTCCCTCCCCCAGTGCTCTCTGCCGAAACTCTGTCAGGATTCAGGAAAGGGAGAGAGACGATCTGGCTCAATGCAAACTTGTTCGTGTTTAGGCACTGGTGACCTTCAAGGATGTGCTTGTGAACTTCACCAGGGAGGAGTGGAGGCTCCTGGACGCCGCGCAGCAGGTCATGTACCGAGATGTGATGCTGGAGAACTATAGGAACCTGGTTTCCTTGGGTAAGACGAACCTCTGTTTTTGGAGATGCCCTGCCTGTGATGGTTTTGGTTCTTCTTTGACCAAAAGGTATGGAGACCCTGAAGCATGTATCAGAGTATGAGCTTGGGTTCAGGGACCTAATATCTTTGGGGCATAGAATAGGGGTTTTTTTACTCCTCCTTTCGTGGGGGAATTAGTTTTGATTTGTTGAATTTATAAAATGCACATTTTGCTGCCTCTGTAGCCTTACCTTATCTGCTCTTCAGAAGTCCCCGTGGTCTGGGGCTGGTGTTGAATCTGGGAGGCCCCTCTGGGTCCAGCTCAGAGTTCTGCAACCCTTGCCCAATTCCGTATCTTTCACTGTGAACAGGACATCGCCTTCCCAAGCCTGATGTGATCCTCCAGTTGGAAAAAGGGGAAGAGCCATGGCTGGTGGAGAGAGGGACTCGCCAAGATGCCCATCCAGGTGAGGGTCAGACAAGTGCACTGCCGGGCGTAGCCTAGATTACCCATTGGTCTAGCGTCCCTGGAGATAGTGATCACTAGCTCTTATTTCCTCAGAAATAAGCACTAGTGACCAACTCTTAGATCGCCGTTCTCTCATTTTTACAGAATCATCTTTCTATCTTTGCCTGTCTTTTACCTTTCACGTAGTCCCTCCCACAGCCTCTGTGTGTGGGCTGGGGACCCCAGCACCCGCCACTGTCCTGAGTTCCCTCTGCCAGTTAGGACACTGCAAGCAGAGCTCATCCGTTCCCACTGCCCGTTTCCTCTTCCCCGGAGCTACTGCTCTCAAGCACCTGTGCTCTCGCCACACTCTTGCTCTTTATTTAATGTCTTTTCAATTTATACCTATTTTATTTTCATCTTCATATGTAAAATGCAAATTGTTATCTGAATTCCAAACATCACTTCTATTCCCTACTTCCCTGTATAGAAAACCAGCCTTCTAGGCTAAGAGACAGAAAGTACTCTTTGGTTTTCCTCTTCCTTTGTTCTCTGTAAGTGATCTTTTCACAGATTTTCCTTTCTGAGCTCAAAACTCAGACGTTTACCCCCTGAGCCCTCTTTGGTGTTGCTTGTCTGAGTCATGCTGCAAACACCCAACCTCACCCGAGCCGAATAGCCAGGGCACTTACCCGTGACCCGTGGGGTCAGTACAGGCACAGCTTCCTAGGCCACGTGCCGCCTGTATTCATTTCTGTCTGACACCCAACGTCTAAGTCTGTCAGGTGTGTCCCTGCACTCGGGCTGTAGGGCTTTGGTGATGCAGACCAGAGGCATTGCCTGGCATGACTGCATTCGTGGTCTAGGAACATTGTATCGGCTGCAGTGTGAAGAATGCCTGTCACGGGGAGGACCTGGGACAAATAGGCAGATTGGGTCTTACATCATTAATAGTAGGATTCGATAATGGGAGTGCCACCCTTTCTGTGGGATTGGTTTTATTGCCCCCCCACTCCCACTTCACCGAATACCCTGATTCCAGTCCTGTGGTTTCTCCTTACTCTCTGCTCCTTCTGTGTACTGTTACCTAGCACATTTCCGTGTACTGCTGTGTTCATCTCTATCAAGGTTTCAGAACCATGTCTGAAAGCAACTCTGTATGTCTTATATTTTTCTCTCCACATACATCCCAACATTCTAATGTTAATTTTTTTTTTAGTTATGCAAACCTTTTTCATTTATTTCAGATTGGGATACTGCAGTTGAAATTAAAGCAATTTCCAATAAGAGTATTTCTAAAGATAAACAATCCTATGACATTAAAAAGGAAGGAATGGTAAAGAGTGATCTGTGGTATCTGTCCTTAGAAGAAGTCTGGAAATGTGAAGATCAGTTGGACAGGTGTCAGAAAAACCAGGACAAACGTTTGAGGCAAGTGGCATTTACCCAGAAGAAAGTATTTTCTCCAGAAAGAGTCAATGAACATGGTAAATTCAGGGAAAACTGTCTTCTTCCTGGTCAGCTATTACAGAGAGAGTATTTCCACAAACAAGACTCATGTACTAAAAGTTCACAAGGTGATTTAGTTATTAGCTGTCATCAGGAAAGCTCTGTAAGTAATAGTAGTGAATGTGGCCAAACCTTCTGTCGGAACATTCACCGTATTCAATTTGCAAAAACTCAAACACGAGATAAATCCTATAAATGCCCAGAGAATGATAACTCTCATAGGCATGGCCCATCCCCTGGTATATCCAAGGGTATACATAGAGAGAAACCATATGAATGTAAGGAATGTGGAAAATTCTTTAGCTGGCGTTCTAATCTTACCAGGCACCGGCTTATTCACACCGGAGAAAAACCCTATGAATGTAAAGAATGTGGAAAATCTTTCAGCCGTAGTTCTCACCTCATTGGACATCAAAAGACTCACACTGGTGAGGAACCCTATGAATGTAAAGAATGTGGAAAATCCTTCAGCTGGTTCTCCCACCTTGTTACCCATCAGAGAACTCATACAGGAGACAAACTCTACACATGTAATCAGTGTGGGAAGTCTTTTGTTCATAGCTCCAGGCTTATTAGGCACCAGAGAACTCATACTGGGGAGAAACCTTATGAATGTTCTGAATGTGGGAAATCTTTCAGACAGAGCACACATCTCATTTTGCATCAGAGAACTCATGTTCGAGTGAGGCCCTATGAATGTAATGAATGTGGGAAGTCTTATAGCCAGAGATCTCATCTCGTTGTACATCATAGAACTCACACTGGACTGAAACCCTTTGAGTGTAAAGATTGTGGAAAATGCTTCAGTCGAAGTTCTCACCTTTTCTCACACCAAAGAACCCACACTGGAGAGAAACCATACGAATGTCATGATTGTGGAAAATCCTTCAGCCAGAGTTCTGCCCTCATTGTGCATCAGAGAATTCATACTGGAGAGAAACCATATGAATGTTGTCAGTGTGGGAAAGCCTTCATTCGGAAGAATGACCTCATTAAGCATCAGAGGATCCATATTGGAGAAGGGACTTATAAATGTAACCGTTGCAAAATTACATTTGTCCTCAACTCTCCATTTATAGTACGTCAGATAGCTCACACTGGAGAGCAGTTCCTAACCTGCAGTCGGTGTGGGACAGCACTTGTTAATAGCCCTAACCTTATGAGACACCAGACAAGTGATATTAGAGAAAGTACATATTAATATAATGAATATGAAGAACTTTTCACAAAGAACAGTAACTTTACTTAGCTTTGTAGAACTCTCTGGAGCAGTGGTTCTCAACCTTCCTAATGCTGCGACCCTTTAATACAGTTCCTCATGTTATGGTGACCCCCAACCAAAAAATTACTTTGGTTGCTACTTCATAGCTGTAATTTTGCTACTGTTAAGACTCGTCATGTAAATATCTGATACGCAGGATGTATATTCATTGTCTGTGACCCGCAGGTTGAGAACCGCTGCTCTGGAGAGAAGCTGTACAGCTGTAATCCATGTGGAAAGGCTTTCAGTCTTGTACTGAGGACGTCACTAACCCATAGTGTGTGTATGAATTCACTTCTGAGGGTCAATTAACAAATTTTCACATTTTATGAAAAATAATTGTTTCCATACAAAGGTTTTCTCTTCTTGGAGAGGATCCTAAATCTTTAGTTTCTGTCCATGACCCTAAAAAAGTTTAGGAAGAGAATCTGTTTTAACTCTGTATAAATGGCTCTCCTGTGTATAGGGACTGACCATTATTTGTCATTCTCTAGCAAACAATATATATGTTAAATGTTCAATAGTAAAATGTTTATATCTTTCCCAGGGGAAAAAAAATCTAGAAATGATTGTGAGAATCGACGAGCTTTCAGAACTAGAAGGAAAATGATTCTGTTTAACTCATGCTCTTGTATTGTTGAGACCCTGTGAATTGGCTCAGGGCTCATATTTTCAAAAAGGTCTGTTTTTATTGATTTTTGAACAAGTGAGAGACATCAATGTGAGAGAAAACATTGATCGGTTGCCTCCCACAGGCACCCTGACTGGATGGAACTGGCAACCTGGTTATGTGCCCTGATCAGGCATAAAATTGGCAACCTTTTGGTGCACAGGATGATGCTCGATCAGCTAAGCCACACCAGCCAGGGTCGGATTCACAGGCCCCTCCATTACTGCTGCTCTCCTCGGTGCTTACATGTGTGTAACATTCCTATCAGAACCGGTTTTCATTGTAAGCAGTGGTTCTTTGTGTGAATGGAAGAGAAGCCCCTTAGACTTTCTGATAACTTATGGCCCAATTTTTCTCAACTGTATAATGGAGGTACTACCAGTGTCTACCTCAGAGAGTTGTGTGAATTCGTTTGATAGCGTATATAATGTATTTAAAACAGTGCCTGGCAAATAGTGCTATCTGTGTTGAATAGTAACATTAGCAATATTACTATTTTTAACATCCTAAGGAATGTGGGAAGAGATGTGTCTATGGATGATCACTGAAATATCATGATGGTGCAATTTGCAATATAAAAGTGTATAATGAAATGCTTATTTATAGTGTATCCATGTAATATGCTGACATTAAAATTATGAAAAGTTCAGTAACAGGAACAATGTTGAAGCTGTCATGTGGTATGAAAAGAGCATGATAAAAGTACATAGGGATTGCCCTGGCTGGTTTTGCTCAGTGGGTAAAGCTTCGTCCTGCGGACTGAAGGGGCCCCAGGTTTGATTCCAATCACAGGCATGTACCTTGGTTGCGGACGCATCCCCAGTATTGGGTGTGCAGGAGGCAACAGATTGATGTTTCTCTCTCCTAGCTGTTTCTCACTATCCATCTCCTTTCCTCTGTTAAAAAAAAACCATTAAAATATATATTTTTAAAAAGTACATAGGGATAAAATCAAATATGCAAAAAAATAAGTGAACTGTAAAAAATGAAATGAATGTTGCTCAAAACTCTTAAATGGTCAGATTAATAGTAGTCTACACATTGGTGAATTTGGCATTTACTTTTTTTTAAGTATATATATATTTTTTTTTAGAGGAAGGGAGAGCGATAGAAACATTGATCAGCTGCACACTCCCTACTGGAGATGTGCCCACAACCAAGGTACATGTCCTTGACCGGAATCGAACCCGGGACCTTTCAGTCTGCAGGCCGACGCTCTATCCACTGAGCCAAACCGGTCAGGGCTGGCATTTACTCTTTTTTTTCTTTCAACTTTTCTGTTCTTCCATCTCTTCTAAGAATACATATTACATTTAGGATCAGGAAAATAATCTTGTCAGTGATGGGATGTTTTCCAAACTTCTTATGTACAAATAAGCTAGAACTGTAAGGGAGATTGAGAAGGTCACAGGATATAAGATTAATATGCAATAAACTTTCAGTTCTATGTACTAACAGTGAACAATTTAGAAATGAATTCAGAAAATCTCATTTACAATGACACAAAAATGTGGAAGAGATAATGAAACAAGCAAGGTCTGTATAGTAAGAATTGTACATTGTGGAAATTCCAGAAGATGTAATAAAGAATACATAAAACGTGGTAAGTGGAGTAATACTAGTCCAGAATGGGAAAACAATGTTAAGATGGCAATTCAGTGTTGTACATGTCTTCAAATTTTTTGAGTTATTAAAGTGTAAATTAGAACTGTTATCATATGAACCATCAATTCCATTCCTTGAATTTAAAAAAATGACCATGTAAAAAGATGCCATGTGTAGTAATTCACAGCATGTGAATGGACAAATTTTGTTTTAGCACTCAGTAATAAAATGTAACAAAAACAACATCATGGTTAAATCTCAAAAAACATTCTAAGTAAGTCAGACATAGAAGAGTATATACTATATGATCCATGTATAAAATTTTTCAGAATATGACGTGCGCTGACCACCACGGGTGGCACAGAATGATGTACCAGGCTGGCAGCCGGGGAAAGGAAGGCCCTGATTGGCCCTGATTGCCGGCCAGCCTAGGGACCCTACGTGTGCTCAAATTTCATGCACCAGGCCCCTAGTCTATAATGACAACAGATACATCAGTAGCTGCCTGTGGCTGGGGTTGGCAGAGTAACAGTGCAGGCAGGACCATAAACGCCTTTCATATGGAGTGAAGCTGTATGTTGTGTGTAAATTATACCTCAAGGTTTTTATTTGAATTTGGAATTCAGAAAACCATGGACTTTTGGGAAACAAAAGCTGCAGCTCCAAATGAACACTAATACCAATAGAAAGAAACTATAGACTGCTTGATATGATGTAGCCAATCTGCTAAGCCCTTTAATGCATTAGATTATTTCTATAACTTTGAAGAAAATAGTAATATACCTTCTATAGTTAGGGCAAATTGACAGTAAATAGTGGAGCTTCATTTGAGAAATAACTAGCAAGTGTGTGGCAGATCTCAATAAAATAATGTTTGACCGAGTAGAAGGTTTTATAAAATTAGCTATTGTAATATAGAAAATACTTTTCAAAAGATTGACACATTTAAAAGATTCCCCCCACACAGACCAAAAAGAATGTTTGAAAGTGCCACTCGCTAATTTTGGGGGGTGGGACTAAATTTATTAAAATGTTACATTAATATGTAATACAGTTTTGAGTTGTGAAATTGTAAGTTAGAACTTTTACCAGAAAGCATGGACCTTAGTACACTTATGCTACTGCCGTGTTTGTTCTGTTACTGTCAATTACTTTAATTCCTGGTATTAATTAAAGCGGACAGGGCCCGCTCCCAGGCGGGGCAGGATAGCCAGAGCTTCCGGCTGCAGCACGGCCCCTCCCGGCCCTCGGCTCCCCCCGCCCCGTGCGCCGGAACTCCCGCGGAGGCTTCTGGGAGTTGTAGTTCGTTCCTGGGCCGTCAGCGGCTCCGCCAGGCCCGCGGAGCTTCGTTCCGCAGCGGGCGCCTGGCAGCCGTTACCCGGTGCGGTGACCGACTGGAGTGGGCTCCTCTCCCCGGGAGCCGCCGCGCCAGCGCCCGGAGGGGCGCCTCAAAGTCTAGCGCGAGGACGCAGTTTTCTGGCTGCAGACCCGGGGGGTGGAGGCAGCCAGCCTCCCCCAGACCCTCCCTCTGCCCTTCAGGGT